GGAACCTCCTCCACTGTCTTCGGCCTCTCGGAAGTCTCCCGCGTATCCATCACATACGCCACAAAACCGTTACATCCCCGCTGTATGCATTGCCTCGCCTAGCGGCCGAACAAAAAGCTGATCCCGAACGGGTACCCTCGCCATATACCGTAAGAACTCCCCCACTAGGGTCTCGTATAGTCACCAGCTGACGCTCGCAGTCGATGACAGCGCTGAATCGGCTCAAGCAGTCCATGCCTACGGTGACACAGACGTCCCCCATCGCAATAGGAACTAGGTCAATCGGGAACGCGACCCCGAAGATCTCTAGCACACATCCCCGAAGGACCTCCGTAGCACAAACCACCCTCTCGGCCGCAATAGAAACACTCAAAGGTCGACTTAACGGCTCACGACTAGTGCCGATATGCTGACTAAAGGCTAACGATACAAACGATCTACTCGCACCCGAATCAAATAACACTAGAGCAGGCATAGAGTTCACAAGAAAAAGTACCTACACATACATTAACATAAGCATAACATTTCGACCTTTAAGTGAATACGTGAGTGATAACATACCTGCCACAACATCGGGTGCAGCGCGGACCTCCTCCGCAGTCAGCTGAAAGGCTCTTCCGCGAGCCCTCGGGGCCTCGACCTTCGCCGGTCGGGTCTCAGTAGTCCTGGTAGTAGGTGTAGCTCCCTGACGAAGCTGCGGACACTCGGCCTTCCGATGGCCTGTCTGGTTGCAGTGAAAGCAAACCATAAACCCCTTAGGGCAATCCCTGGCAATATGTCCCTCCTTGCCACACTTGTAGCAACCACCAGCTCGACACACCCCCTCGTGACTCTTGCCGCACTTCGCGCAAGTGCGACCCTTCGGACCTCCCATCCTCGAATCAGCGAACTTAGTCCGCTTGGCTGCCGGCTGAGACTGAGCCGGCCGCCGATCCACCTGCCGAGACTCAGCCTCCTCCCTCGCCTGAGTCTCCAACTCGATCTCGCGCTTCCTGGCGTTCGCCTGAAGCTCAGTGAAAGTACGATAGGTGGAGTTTGACACAAACTCCCGGATCTCCCTCTTCAAAACGCCCAAATACCGGCTCATCCGCGACTGCTCCGTAGATACCAGCTCGGGGCAGAACATTGCCCTCTCATGAAACTTCTGCGTGATCACCGCCACGGAATCAGTACCCTGCTTAAGGGTCAAGAACTCCTGAATCAATCGCTCCCTCTCCACCGGGGGAACGTACTCGTCCCTGAACATCTCCGTAAACCTCTCCCATGTTACCGCTGAAATCTCCGCCTGAGTGAAGTTCGCCGTCACGAACTTCCACCAATCCTTCGCTCCCAGACGGAGCTGGTTCAAGGCGAACCGTACCCTCAAGTGCTCCGGGCATGAGCAAGTATAGAAGCACCCCTCAATGTCGGCGATCCACCTCATAGCCGCAATCGGATCCTGCGTCCCATCGAACTCAGGGGGTTTCGTGTTGCTGAATTCCCTGAATAACAACGAATCACCCCCTTGCGGCCTGGCAGCAGCCACAGCTGCGGTAGCGGCAGCGACTGCAGCTTCAGTAAGTGCGGCGTACCGCTCCTCAAACTCCTCCATCAGGGTGGTCTTAATAGACCCAAACATCTCCGGGATCTCAGCCCGAACCGCCGCAGCTACCTCTTCTTGAATAATCTGACGAATCTCCTCGTCACTCGCACCGCTCGAACTCGCCCCATTGCGTGTGATGACCATGATGTCTCTGAAATACAACATAAAATCATCAGAGACTCCACCAAGTACAATTGTACTCGATACGCGCCCTACTCAGTCTCCGATTTCCAGGGATTCTTACTTGGGTCTTCCACTGATCCGGTGCCTTCGGTAGTACGGGCCCAATACTACCGACCACACCGTATCAGTATTCGTCCCAAATCTTCCTCCCCAAATCCCGAATAATGAGTACTCTACCTCTAGTATGCACTATCTACTTGCACGCTACCAAATATCTCATATAAGCAATCTCCCTAGACTAAGGCATCACAAAACAGGCAATTCTAGTCCTATCATGTATACCTAGTCTTCTAGCATGCATAACAATTCATAATTCAGTGCATAACATAACATTGTAAGGTATTCTGGGGATCTTTACCGTTCGGGCGCTGGCTGATCGTACACACTGCTCCATTCTTGTTTTACCGCCTTACCATTTATGAAATGTTGTGTCCTTATTATTTTAAAAAGGTTTTTCCTCAAATCCCCGGTCTGAGTTCAGTTGCACCCGAAAGTACACCCGAATCCCTCAAACCAAGGCTCTGATACCAATTGTAACAGCTCAAATTTTCAAATAAATTTTTCATTTAAAATAAAACATCATTATTCGACAAAAGAGTTTATTCCAAGTTTATTGCAAAAATATAAATAACAAATCCTCAAGATCTTCAACAGTGGCAGTGTGTACGTGTCACGCCGGCGCCGTCCCACGGTCATCACTAGTACCTGAAAAACATAAACACAACTAGTAAGCATAAATGCTTAGTGAGTTCCCCAGTATACGACTTACCCACATACGTCTTCCGGCCCGGACCTTTCGGTCCACATAACATTGCCTTCCGGCCCGTAACATAATCGCCTTCCGACCCATAACATATCGCCTTCCGGCCCATAACATATCGCCTTCCGGCCCATAGTATTTTGCCTTCCGGCCCATAATAGTAATAAACATAACACATATAACATATCACACATAACACATAAATCATACATCATACCGTTCTTTCTATCACATAAAGTCTCGCCTTCCGGCCCGTATAAGCATACATCACATATAAAGCATCTACCTCTCTAGACATAGCATAAATATAACACATACGACCTTCCGGCCACGCAGTCAAACCCTTCCGGGTGCAGTATAGTGAGAAGACTCACCTCGTAGTATGCAAGCTATAAACCCTTCGAGCCACTCGCACTCGATCCGCTAATCTGCAGGCTCCCTATAATACCACATACCTTTATTAATGATCTTATCAAACAAGACAACTGACCCTACTAAATTACATACAGGTCAACGGTCAACTTGACCGGACTCGTCGAGTGCAAAGGCAACTCGGCGAGTCTAGACACCCCGACTCCACTCGCCGAGTCTAAAGAACGACTCGACGAGTTCCAGTAGATCTTCAAGCTACTCGCCGAGTCTGAAGAACAACTCGGCGAGTCCTAGTGAATCTTCAAGATACTCGCCGAGTCTGATCATTGGACTCGGCGAGTCCTCGCCATGCAGTCAATCAACTGCCTCCTGTAACTCGCATGATTCCGTAATATATAGATATGGGACTTCCTGGACCTTCACATATACTATTACAGGGGTTTAAACACTTGTAACAACACTATAATATAGCAAATCCTTAAATGGGTTTCCTAAACCCTAGATTCGTATACAACGCCAAAACTACAGAAAATGATCCGAGGATTACCTGGAAAACGTGTTCCCTGTGTCCCCAACCTTCAGAGCTCGACCCCTTGAATCTCCTTTGATCACCACCTTGCCTCTCCTTGCCTAACAATCTCTTCAAGCTTCCACTAGCCTTCACCCTTGTTCCAGATGCCCACAGACTTTTTGGTTATATTCAATCGGCCAAAAGACGAGACATGACGGCCCTAAAGGCATTATATACGATCCAGAATCAAAACGCTAGGGTTTCAGCTGAACAGCGTCGACTCCGAGTCCCTAATGAACTCGTCGAGTCCAGTCGCGAATCTGTGTCCAAGACCGTGGTCCTACTCGGCGAGTCAGGCACCAACTCGCCGAGTCCCCTCCTAAATATGCCCCAAAAATAATTTAAAGAAATACCTGAAATTCCGGGCTGTTACACAGGGACTCCAAGGCTCAGATCTAGACCCAAATTCTATCAAGATGGATAAAGCATCCAACTGTATCCTTGAAACTACTCCAAGGGTCCCAAAACTCAACCACAAGGCTTGAAGGTTCAAAGGCTTACCAAGAAGCACAATCCTTGAAGTTGGAAACCCATCCTTTCCAGAAGAGATTCTAGCACCAAAACCATCCCAAAGGTCGGTGCTTTATAGACATGCATGTCCAATGCATGTCTTGAACCCAAAATAGGCCAAAAATAGGGATTTATGACCTACTCTCCATGCATGGCATCAAAACTTGACTATAAGCCAGATCCAAAACTCTACAAGGTCACTTAGACCTAGAGATTCATAAAGTTGCTTACTTTATGAGATCCAACCATTCCCTCACTCAAGAACAACAAGAAAAAGGGCCAAAACTCAAGATCTAGCAACATAAAGGAATAAAAATAGGATATTGGACACTTACAAAGGTCTAGAGGAGTGTCAAACTAAAGGATGAGGACTTGCTTGTTGGATCCTTACTTCCTTCTTCCAACTCCTTCCTTCTTTAGCTCCAATAACACCACACTAGCTCACAAATAAGTGGAAAAGATGATTACAGTTCTCAACGGTTGATATGGGAGTTAGAGGCTGATAAAAGACCACCCCTTGGGACTTAAGGAGATTATATAGGGTGTAAACCCCAAAAATTAGGGTTTTCTCAACGAACCGCCAACACACCGTGTTGCACCATAAACACTTTGTGCTGACCTTAAAGAAAGCCACATTTCTTCAATTTAGACATGTCGTGTTTGTTCCTCCAAAACGCCATGTCTAACCATAGAAAGGGGATTTATTTCCACAACTATTCCTCAAGATTCTGGGTGTTACAACTCTCCCCCACTTAAATTAGATTTCATCCTCGAAATCATTCCTTACAATCTCCCCCTAACAAAATGACGATCCTAACTGAACTCCCTAAACCCTAAAATGACTAGGGAAGTCACCCCGCTCAGATGAATGCCCACCCTTACTGATGTCAAATCCAAAATAGAAGATACCCAACCACTATACCTGGAACTGAAAACCCTGAACAATGTTGAACTCCATGACAGATAGCATCAAACAAAATTGTCCCCTCAAGGACTCAACTTCACAACGCGAAACGAACAACCTATCCGGCTTGAACGAATTTACAAATACTCAAGAACATAAATCCCTGACCACCTACCAAATCCCTGAAAAAAGAAAACCCTCATTACTCAACTCAAAACTAGGAATTCAATACCTTATCTAAAAACATCCCAATCACAATGGATCTTTTAATGAAGCTCAACAATAACTAGATTGCAGAATAATAAGGAAGAGATATAGAAACAAGTTTACATAAAACAAAAGCAAGTAAATATGGAATCGTAACAAGGCTTGTATTTAATACTAGGTTAGAACATGTTGAACAACTACGTATGAAAGATAATCTTGATAAAGAGACTTCTATATTAACATAATGATTACATAGAAAAGATATTGGAAGTGAAAAACCCTACATAGATTGATCAACAAGATCATCTATTTATAGGACAAAACGTTATACATTCAATTATAAAATAAGAGTAGCTTGGGTGGCCCTATTGCCCATAAATGATGTATGTAGTCCACCAAGAAATGTAAGGATAAAGCTGATCATTGTTTTATCACCGAAAATACATAAAAACATCTTCATACTTTTCCTCTCTAGTATTGCTCACCAACTAACAAGTCTATTCGGTACGCCTTCTCTACTCTCCAGTTCCTTGATTTCACACTTTAGCTGCCGAGGGTCACTTTATGTCTTAAAAACACCCCACTAGTAATTCATTGTCTATATACCGATTTCCATAAGGAAGAAGAAACTTTTTATTCTTGGACTGTCTTAGAGCACCTGTTCTTCTTGAGGATGACAATCTAGACGGACTAGCTGCTCGTACAAGGTTTAGCTTCTTAACTTTATTGAGAAGGTGCTGAATTGCCAGCTTAACTTCCTGAGCATGATTACCCTTGTGTTTGTTTGATAATTTCTTGAATTTACATCAACTCATTATAGCTAAATTTGACTAACTCATGAGCATAAACAACTTTATTGTATTCATATTATGTTTTCTTTCTAACCAAGTGAAGCTTTAAGGACTCGTTTCTTGGTTTGTTGCATCTCACTTTGATAATGGGATTAGGCTTTAACCCGTGAGTAAGAACATCTCTAGACTTCTTCCTATCAATTTGGTCATTCAGATCTACAACAATGTGTTGTTTCTTCACACTATTATTGAAAATTTTCTTCACCTGATTATCAGTACTTTTAACATTAGAACTTTCGTCAACGGAAGCAAGAGCTTGAAAAAGTTTGGAAGACAAACGTTCTTCTTTTCTTGCTTGTTTCCTTTGTCAGCTAGCAACGTTATATTCAAACATGATTTCTCTAACTTCCTCAATGGGTAACCTCCATGATTCTGACAATTCATTTAGATCAAAGATGAGTTTGCTTTTCATTTTAGGAGGAGATGTTGAAGGATCAAAGGTAGTAGAGCTTCCAACTTCAATTTCATGAGTTCCCCCTGAAATGGAAGCCTTCCTCTTTCGAGGACTGAGCTGATAATTGTCAGAGTCAAAGTAACTATCAGTTCCTTGAGGAACCTCTTGAGAAACCTCTCCCTTAAAGTAAGATCTAGGGTAGACAACATTTAAAGGAACATTTGGAACAACAACCTGTGTCAAGAAACCCTTTAAAGTCATCGGTATTTGATTGGTCACCAATGTCTAGAATGGATTGATCAGTTGTTGCATCAGTATCTAGAATATCAACAACATCAATATCCTTTTGAGAATCAGCTTCAACCCTTACAACCATCTCAGGATGAGATAGAGTTTGTAAAATCATCACCTGCATTTGCATTGGCTGAGGATCCCCCTTGATTACTCTCCCCCTTTTTGGTGTCAGGAGGAAGTGGTGGAGTTCTTAGAGGAGGATGAGATGGTGGAGGAAGATTTGTTGATGGAGGTGGAGGTGGAGGAGGAGGAGGATTATCACCTGGAGAGTTTGGTGGAGTGTCATCAACAACCACATCATCATCATCATCACCCAAAAGCCATAAGTCGCTTCATTGTGGCCACATCTCTTTCAACTTTATTCAATATTTTATCCAGTCATTAAGTAATCTGCATAATTAGAGAAAGTTAGGAAATTACATTACTTTGAATGTTAGTGTTGGATTTTTCCCGATTAACCTGATGAAATGCAACATTCATCATAGGATTTAGAGTAAAAGGAACAGTCTCAAATTGAGGAGAAAGAGGCATTGAATTATCTTGGATCATTGGTTTAGCAGTTACCATAATAAGAGGGGTTAACCCATGTTGTGCAACATCATCGGTAGAGGAAGAAGATGAGGAGGTAGTTGAAAAATGAAAGTGCTTTTTCATCCTTGGAGGAGAATTCATTCCCTAAGCAAAGTATTCTTACATATCAATGACTAATTCTTATTCATCTTTTTCAGTATCTACTTCCTCATCAGCCCCTTCTTTATTACAAACTTCTAGATCATCACTCTCATTATTCTCTTCTTCATTACCAACATCATCACTATTATCATCATCCTCTTTAGAGTTTGAGGATTTAACCACATATGGCTTTTTAATCCACTTTTGCATCCTCGCAGTAATAGGCAAGTCACCCCGATATAGAGCGACATTAATAATCTTTGAGGATGAGCAGGAATTGGAATGATAATACCATGACTTTCAACAAAGCCTTCATCTCGAGACAAGATCAGACAAAGCTAATGAGGATAAGGAACATTCAATGGCTTCTTGTTCCCAGTGATGCAGTCAACCATTTGATCAAGAATAAGTTGAAAAAAATCTAGTCTTTTGTTGTAAACAATAGAGTATAAGATCCTTTGATCAAAGAGATTCAATTGATCCAAACTTCTAGTCTTGTGACCAAGAAATTTTCCAATTACACATGTTAAGTACTTCCATCCTACACTAAAACAATGACAAGTTTATAATGACGGTATTATGGTTAGTAGTCTCATAAAAAATAACATTTGTTTTAGCAGTTCACCAAGAAAGGGTTTTGTCTTCACCAAGAAGATGGGTTGTCATAAATACAGTAACCAAGATGAACTCAACATTAGGGTTTACCCTAATGTTGATTATATACTAATCTACACATGTGTATTCCTTAATTAAAGGGATTACATCAAATCTTTACTAAGAATGGATCTTATCACAAAGATATAAGATCTGTGATCTATTCTATACTTATCTATATCATTACCTAATATACAAAAGATTACATAGAATAACTATGTTATATACAGACGCAGACAAGCTTGATACATTGGCGCTTTTAATGTTGTAGATGCTGAAGCTGACAGATAGTGTAGAGTGTTTGACTCATCAGATCATAAGGTGTGACCTTGCAACATTTCTATGACTTGTCAGATGTGAGTCACGCATCTTGTAGACGCACGCGACTACGCGTAGAAATTTATGATTTCTTTAAAAATGCATATCTTCTTCATGTGTGCTCTGTTTTTTATGGTTTTATATCCATACATAGCTATCGACGGGATCTACAACTTTCATTTAGACCCTATCGGCTAATTTTGAATTTATTTTTAAAGTTATATTTTTAATGGACTTAGATTGTTAAAGTCTGTTAAAAATTCATAACTCTCTCGTCCGACGTCCGCTCTCTACTGCTTTATATTGACCGATAGGTATATATGAGATCTTCAAATCTCGTTTAGATTGTTTTTCCTAACAATATACCGTGCAAAATTTCGCTTTCTAAGTCATATACTATTATGCTGAAACTTCGAAATATCATAAATTCCTTTCATGAAGTCAGATTAACGCTATCTTTATATATACGCTCTTGGTTTAATGACTACTATGATTTTCATTTAGATCACTTAGGCTAAAAAGTAATTTATCAAAAATTCACTTTTTATGATACATAGGGTTGTGTCAGTTTAATCGCGAAACTTCGAAGAAGCATAACTTCTTCATAGGAAATCGGATTCTAGCGTTCCTTAGATGTACAAAATCCATGTCAAATGCACTTTAACTTTGGTTAAAATTATTTATCCTAAATAATCTTCTATGAAAATGTCAGTTTTCATGCTTAATATATCTTAATCGACAAGTCCAAATCTGCTGGTGTTACAATTATCTCCCACTTAGGATGGTTACGTCCCAGAATCATCAGAAAAACAAGGCATGTATGATGACTCTAAATGTTACCTCTCCATCCTAGGTAATAACCATAACAGATCGATGGGTCATGTTTTAATGACTTCTCATCGTTTGATGTAATGGTTAGACATGGTTATCTTTGAGTCAGACTCTAGCAAAAAAGATTATTTCCTTCGTGTTCTAATGTGATACAACCACAATATTTTATGTAGCGTTTTAGCTACTAGTTTCATAGTCTTAACGATGATTGCGATACTTCTGCCGGTCACCCCAATTGTCCTTCCCTTCGATTTCTTGACTAAAGTTAGATGTTACATGAAGATTAGTTCCCTAAAGCAAGTAAATCACTTCGTAGATTTTATCTTAGTCGGACTTGGTTTGCTGTGACCACTAGGGTCGGAATATTATTCATCTTCTAAGTCATAAGTGAAATGATGGTAACAACGGACACAATAAAAATGAATTCAATTACTAATGCCTTGGTAACCTTGTGACTCATCCTGATTCAAATATGAATCTTGTGCTTCCGGTAGTACGAGCCCATACTACCTTTCACACCTATTCATACTTATCCCAATAATTGTCTCGCCTCACTCAAGTTACTATTTCCCTAAATATCATGAAAGCAATTTTAAAACATAAAGATGTGTCTAAGTAATCATATACAACAATTACTTAGACTCCACTATGGTTTATTCCATGTATATCTTAGACATTAGTTCCACTTCCTAACCTTTAGTATAAATTATTTCTCATGTATTGTCTTGCCTACAAGACACTCTATACCAGAATTTATTCTTAACCAGTCTATCTTGTTGAAATCATAATTTCTTAGTGCCACACATCAATGTAACACAACTAAAATTGTATAACTTTCGAAATGATTACAACATGTATTCATACATTATTCCTCTTATATCAGACTACACACTATACTACTTTTTATGTGGAACTACTACTTCAAGCTTTAAACTTTAGGTAATCAACCTCCTTCACTTGGTCTCCTCAAGCATTTTTTTGTTTGATCCTTTGCTACATCCATGATCATCTGGAACGCTCGTGCCTTTGGTTTATTTGGGAAGTCCTTCATGACATGTCCTTCTTCACTACACTCAAAACTCACATTTCCATCATACTTGTACTCATCAGAATAGTGACCAGGTATCTCGTACCTATAGCATGTAGCTTGTTTTTTACGTTTCCTAGCATGATTCTTTTTGCATTTATTGTACCAATCTACTTCATTATTACCCCAGACCTCTTGTCATTATGGTTAGACTTTGAGATTTTACTTTTCTTATTGGAGTTTACGAGTCCTTCACCTTTGATTTTCTTGCCAACTTTAGTTTTTTCAGCAATTCTCCTCTTGATCATATTTTCCAAAGACTTTGCAGCACAGATAGCAACTATAAAAGTTGGTGCCTGATGTATTAGCATAGATTATCCCCATGGCAGTCCCTTAGAATACATATCGATCTTTGATAACTCATCAAGGATGATATGCAAGGCGAATTACATCTTGTCCGTAAAGGCATTAGTATACTCATCGATGGACATGTCTCATTTCTCTAACAATTAGGAATTGGTTCTCAAGTTCTAGTATGTTCTAAGAAGAACAATACTTTCCATTCAAGCCAGGCAGGTGTAGGTACCCTAAACCAAGTTATAATATAAGTCATTTAGCACATAATAACTATGTAGGTATCCATCCTAAAGTATTATAGTGCTTTTGTTAATTTATGTAAACTATATAAATATAATATATGCCTACCTCACAATCATAGCTTAGCATTCTAATTTTACGTCTAAAAATCCTAAAATTCCAGTTTGTTTAAACTAATGCTCTGATGCCAACTGTGACATCCCCAAATTTATGCCCTTTATAAAACTTTTAGTTTATGCTTATTTAAAACATTTGTTATTGCAGAATTGGTCCTAAAATATCCTTGACATTATATAATATCAAAATCAAGCCATTTTAGAAGAGTTTATATTTTAAAAGTCTAGGATGTCATAATGATACAAACACATAAGCATTAACAGGCCTTACAACAATATTTTAGCAGCATATGGACTACTTAAATCTATTATCAGATAATTTCATTATCTATCAATACTTTCATATCGATACTGTGATACAAGAAACTGAGTGGGTTAAGTTGGGAAACCTATGAGTACATAGGGTTCTCAACCCATAATATTATAATCTTTAATTATATAATCTTCAACATTTAAATAACTAGGTTACCCAATTTCCATTATTCTTACTTCCTAATCCTAGAATGATGATCTCAAGAGATCATTTCTAAAGGGTCTTTGACAATAGTGACAACACTTTAGACACAGCATGGCAGTACAATTAGTAATTTTGGGTGAGCGCGACAATACAATAGTACTTTTGGATAAACACGACAAGTCACGACCTATTTGTTTTGCACAACTCTCACTAACCTATCACAACCATTATCATAAACAACCCTGTCACAGCCTCTCATTTATTATTTCACACAACCCATTACTATCCTATCATATTATTAAGTACGACATATGAGTAGATCAAGTAAAAATCATATCATATTGTACAGTTATATTAAGCACATAAAAAAATTGTACATAGTATTTAAGCATTTAGAATAATTGTCTTTATATGTAAGTTAAAAGTAACTATGCACTCACCTAACTTAGATGGGTGACTGGAGAATTTGGCAGCGCTCAGCCAAATTCCTTGACTTTTCCTCTAGGATGGCCTAGATACGAATATTACTAAGTCTTGGTGTAATATTCTAGGTGAATACTAATAGTCTAGATTCCTTTTGGTATACAAAGTATAGTGTTTGGAAACCCCACTTTAAACACCCCACTAATCTAGCCTAGACATCACTCCTATAAGTAGATCAATCAGTATAATCACGTGGAATCACCGATAAATCTTAATTATAGGTTCATAATAACGATGATGATTATAATTAAAAGTTACACTTCAAATAAATAAGTGTAGCTTGACTTACAGAGTAATCTAACGAAAACTAGGATATATACAGGCATAACTCTGATCTAAGAGCTTCTACACCAGCTATCCGACACCGTAGGGCTATGCTATGGTAACCGAGAATTCGGGAGTAAAAGGAGCTTAAAGGATTGGAGGTAATATAGAAAGAATTGTAGAAGAGGTGTGAATAGAAATGTTGAAAATCGCAACTATATATTGACAAAAATTGAATGCACGCCGCATATGT